CCGCAATCCCCCCCCAGCCTGCTACCTTCCACCGCCCGCTTCCCACGCCCAGCGGTCCCCGCACCCTTAGGCCAGGATGGGCAGGATGGGAGGTGCGGGTGGTGGGGGGGGACCAGCTCAGTTCTTGGAGATAGAGAACTGGGGACCCACGAGGCAAACGCGCCGCAGCCTCAGCAGCCCGCGGGGCTCCCGGCGGAGTGGGAGGCGCAGGGGAGCGCGGAGCTCAGGGCTAGGGGAGCGGGGAGGAAGGGCTGAGGGGGAGAGGCTGGTGGGGGTGAGGGGAAGCTCTGAGGCAGGCGTTTCCGGCAGAGCTGAGGAGAAACTTCCAGCAAGGCCTAGTGGGGAGCACTCAGGCTTGCGGCCTCTGAGCTGCTGAGCGAGTGTGACTGGGGGCAGGTCCCTGCAAGTGGGAGTGGCTGTGGGGGGGACCGCGGTCTCCCTCCCCCTCCCTCGGGCTTCTGAACAAATAACAGTTTTGTAAAGGGCACCGGATCTGCTGTGCATATCAAACAGGGCCTGAGGAGCCGGGAGAAGGCAGAGTTGGGGGCTGCGACCTGGGGTAGCTGTGCCAAGACCACCCCTCCCTGCCAGAGGGTGCCGTGGGATTCCGAAGGATTCGGGCCCCTTCCCCTACGCCTTGCTTTTCCTCCTAGCAGCCACCTTGAAACACCTCCCTGTTCTCTCTGGGGACTGGCTAACCCGGAAGTGGAGGGAGGTCAGCAATGGCTGGACCCCAAGAGGGGCTGCAGGGCACAATTCTGTTGGGTCCCCTGTTCGCTGGGCTTGAGCTCGCAGGTCCCTGCCTCACACCCCTGTAGAGGGGGAGGAGGGGATAGAGCTCCTTCCTCTTCAGGCCTGAAGGGAAGGCTGCCCCAGGCCAGCTCACTTCTGCTTCAGTTCACCCCTTCTCCACACTCCACCGATACCCCAGGAAGCCCCTCCTGACCTCCTTCCCTGTGCCCACCATAGGTTCCTACAGACAACCCCGGAAGGGCAGCCACCCAGCCTGCGGTACAAGAGGGTAAGGAACTGTGGGGGGCGGGGAGTGGGGGAAGAAGACTCTTCCTACCCTTCCTCTTCACACCTGCCCTCCTTAGGCTGTTGGCTTCTTAGCCCTTCACGGAATCCCAGACCCAGCTCCACCCAGACCACCAGTCCTTCAACACCCTTGTGCCCAGCCCAGTCGCCCTCATTCCCACACCCTCACTTCCAGAGGGAGGCAATCTCCATGACCCCGACTGCCAAAGCCAAGGAGCACATTTCAAATCTCTGCCACTCCTGTGAACCAGTTTACTGTGGAGCATGGCCCCTGGACGCATTCTTCTTCTGGTACCT